TACAAAGGACTTAATGCTTTGTTCTATGTTGACAATCATCTTCCCTTTCAGAGAGATAGTATGAGACCTGAATCACACTTAGCCTTCCTTGATGTGGAAGTGGCCATATTACTAAAGGGTACTTATAAGACCTCTATCTTTCTATATAGCATTTTCTTTTAGGATAAGACTTAAGATGATTTAAGTGTGATCCCTAGGCTAGAAACATCAGCTTTCCTATTAATTGGTCAAAAGGCAAATTCTCAGGCTCCATCCCAGACCAACTCAGGGAATCAAACTCAGGGAAATGAGGTCCTGCAACCTGAGATTTAACAGGTCCTCTAGGTGATTCTGATGCATACTTAAGTTTAAGAACCACCAAATTAAAGAAATTCAACCATGAGGCTGCCCAAAGCAGACAAATGAGCAATCAAAGACTGCATTAGCTCTCTCAAAGTACCATCTGTTGGTGCTGATGGCCACAGTAAAACAAATGTTAGCACAGCACTACATATTGCCCCAAAGTGTATGTTCCCCTTATGTTTCATTAGAGTGAATATAAGCAAAGGCATTTCGAATGTCTACAGATCAGCCTGTGGTGAGGCATGAGAGACATTCCTTTAAGTAGCAGAGCAAGACACAAAATGGCACAGAAAAATGACTTCTAAGGATGGTTCACTTCCTGGGTGGGGTGGGAGAGGCTTTAATTAATTAGTTCAGGCAGATCACAGGAGCCCAAGGGGGACTTCTTAAGAACCTCAGGTCAAGTTCACAATTGCTCTTGTTCTCTTCACTTCCTTTTCTTTTTCTGCACCGATTGTGTCGGCAACTCAGGTTTTGCAAGGAATGCAGAGCCTCACTGCTTCCCTGCTCGGTCCTCACTGTCTCCCTGCTTGGTGACTTTTCATTTTTTTTCCTCTTGGACAGATTCCCAGTGATCAAATGCAAAGCCCTCAGGGGGAGTGAGCTGGCCCAGGAGAGATAAGGGGCCAATTCCTGCAGATCTGTCACTTCACGGGCAAACTGCCACAGCCTGTACAGGAGAATAAGCAGTGATGTGGAGCCACGTGGAGGAGAAGTGGTGGGCATTGGAGAGGGAGGTGACACTGGGGATACAGGCACCAGAGCTGTGACTTCCAGCTGGCTTTGTGTGAGGCCCTGTGCTGTTCCTTACCTTTATTTTGGGTCTTAGCAATAGAAGCTGGCTGCCTCTTGAAAGCCTGGAGGTTCACACTCGGGGGCTTTGATGGCTTGGCGGGAGGAGGACCCAGGGACTCAATGGAAGGCAGTGGTTTCGTTTTGGGAAACTGCTTTTGCCTGATATCCGGCTGCTTTTCTGAGACAGGAAAACACATAGGTTATTATTGAAATTCCATGGCTTGTCAGGTGAAACTCAGTCTCGCTCGCCTTCAATCTATTCTCCATGCAGCAGCCAGAGTGCCCCAATCCAAACTCAAACCAGCACAGGTCACCCATCCCGCTGCCCTCAAGACTTCCTCCTCATCACCTGTTCCCCCCATTTTCTTCCATTTCACTACCACATGGCCCCTACTATGTCTCCAGATTCTTTCCTCATCACCTGGTGTTATGGTTTAGATGTGAGGTGTCCCCCAAAAGCTCACAAGTGAGACAATGCAAGAAGGTTTGGAGGAGAAATGAATGGGTTATAGCCTTAATCCAGTGAGTTAGTACCTGATAGGGATTAACTGAGTGGTAACTAAAAGCTGGTAAGGTGTGGCTGGAGGAGGTGGGCATTGGGGATGTGGCTATGGGGAATATATTTGTATCTGACAAGTGGGGACCATTTTCTCTGCTTTCTGATCACCATATGAGCTGCTTTGCTCTGCCACACTCTTCTGCCATGATGTTCTGCCTCACCTTGAGCCCCAAGGAATGGACCTCTGAAACCATGATCCCTCAAATAAACGTTTCCTCCTTTACAGTTGTTCTGTGAGATCATTAAGTTACAGCAGCAACAATGCTGACAGAACCACCCATGTCCTCCTACTTCCCCAGCCTTCAGCCCCAGCATCTCTCACTCACATAATTGGCTTCCCCATTCTCCAGGTTTGATTTTGAAAAAGTCCTGTCTCCAAGACTTTGTTCATGCCACTCCTGTTCTGGGGTGCTATTCCCTCTCTTGCAAACTTTGATTCATTCTTCCACAGTTCTGTTGCCAAATGACAGCTCCCCGAGAAGGCTTTTCTTGATTTTTCTAGAAATCAAGTCAAAAATCAACCATTCTTTGTTTACCCTATAGATCATGATGAATGCCCTTACCTCAGGGTCATGGCTTACCAGAGAGGCTAGTCTAGCTTCTCATTAACCATGGCCTCCTGAGGGCAGGGATTGTGTCATATTGGTCTCCTCACACCAAGCAAGGACAGACCATAGCTACTCACTGAATGGATTCCTCAAACACATGGTGTGAAAATAATATGCCAGGGACTATAAAGAGGAGTAAGAATTGATCTCTCATCACGAGAGCTGATAGCCTAGGACTTGCTTCAAAGCTGACTTTGTAGAACTTGGCATCTTTTGAGTTTTATGTCCTAGAATTTTCTCAATTTTAAATATTTGTCCTTATGTACTCATAAGTCCAATTCCAACAGAAATTCTATTATTTTTTATATGAAAATTATATCTGCTTCTTGTGAGAATAACACAAATTCTTACATAACCCACGCACCTGAGTTTTGGTTTACATAATACGGTAGTTGACTACGTAGGACACCCAACAAACACTAAAGAAGTGCACTCAGTCTTGCCTGTGCCTGTGAGACCTCTGAGAGCTGGGAGGGGACAGAAAGCTTTTATCCTGCCCTACCACAGTCATATTCCCAGAAGCTCAGGGCCAAATTCCTGGTCTTGATTCTTCCTAGTCTTTAATTGTAAGTCTCAGTGTCAGAAATTTTGACTCTTTATCCAATTGGGGAGAAGACTTAAGTAAAAATAAACTATCACTTTCTAACTGATGGAATTTTTATCAGTCATGGTGCTAAGCAATTGAAATAGCTATCTCATTTAATTCTCAATAGTTCTATCCAGTAGGCTCTGTTTTTCTTTGTTCTCTCCTATCCATCTTTATTTCTATTTATCCTTCCTCTTTTCCCCACCCCTTCATCAATAACTGTTTATTTACTATATTTCAGGCATTGTTCTGGCAGCTGGGGATAGAACTGAAAACAAGAACAAATGTGGTCCTGTATGTAGGAATGTTCATTCTACTAAGAAGAAACTAATGACAAACAAGAGAGCTCCAGAGATCTCTCCAGCATGTTGACGATGGGGGAGTATGCCAGGGGAAGAAAGGTAGGAGAAAAGTTAGATACAGAGCAAGGACCCGAGAACAGGGCCATGAGGACTGTCAGAGAAACCATATGGGGTTGTAAGCAGGAGATTCCTCCATTGATTGATCCATCCATATAATCACTCATTGAATCAATACTTTTTGAAAACTTGCTCATCTGGCCATATTCTTTTGGGGATATGGTGGTAAGACAGTCTTTACCGTCTTGTAATTTACATCTTATCAAGAGAAGCATATAACAATATACCAGGTAAAAATAAATGATATGAAGAACATCAAAGTAATATAAAACAACAAAGGGTAATGGAACTGGTGTAGCTCTTTTAGACAGAGTGACGAAAAAGGACCACTCAGAATAGAGACTTTGATGAGGGGAGGGAGCAAGACATCCAAGTCCAGGAGGAGGGACTGACAAGGGCAAAGACGTGGGATGGAATCAGCATGGGATAAGGATTATCAAGGCAAAGTGGCATGAGGGGAGAGGGCAAGATAAGCAGGCAAAGACTAAATTGCATGAATCCCTGTTAATGATTGGACTTGACTTTGTGCGGAAGAATGATGTGATCTGATTTATGTTTGCAGGGCGACTCTGCCTACTAGGAAGGGAACAAAACTTAAGAATGTAGAAGCAGGGAGACCCGTGAAGCTACTGCAGTGGCCAAGGTAATAGATGATGGTGTGGCAAGAGCAGGGGGCAGAGTTATATGGAAGTCCGGGGGTTCTGAACTCACCTCTGTGGTAGAACCAAGCAATGACTGATAGATTCAATGTAAAGAATGAGAGAGAAGAAAGCATAGAGCTTCACTCCTGGGTTTCTAGCCTGAGATGGTTGTGATATTTACCAACAAAGTCTGGTGACAGCTCTGATTTGTAGGAGAGCAGACCAGGCTCTAAGAAATTTGTAGATTGCCTGAGTTCCTGCAGTTGTGTAAGAACCAGGTCTAGGAATCATATCCAAGATGCCCAAACTGCATTGCAATGAATTCCAGGAGACTGAGCACTTGACCCAAATTTGAGACTCTAACAGATAGGCCTACGATCCTCAGGCTACATTGCCCAGACCCACCTATGACCACTCCAAATCAACAGGCTTTAGTTAGAAAAACATAATGGCCCTTTCCCGGTTCCCCGGTCTACTTCTTACCTGGGGTCTGGGTGTCAAGCTCATACTCGTAAACAGGCTGGCAGGTACTGCCTGCCAGGCCCCTCTCAGGACTGGAGATTTCCTGGCTCTTCCTGCTGCGTGGAGAAAGTCGAGAAGAGGGGTCTTCAGAGATGGTGAGTGATTTTCTTTGGGCCGTCAAGTGCCTCTGAGAAGGAAGGGTCTGGGCTCCTTTGGTTTCCAGCTTTTTCCTGGGCTTCTCTGGGGCAAGCCCCATGCTTTTTTGCCCTTCCAAATGGAAGGCCTTCCCTCCACAATCAGAGAGGGGAAGGGCAGACGAGGTCTCGTTTCTCTGAGAGGAAACCTTCTCCCAGTTCCTGAGCTTGTCTCTGAAGCTGCTGGAGGCCACCACTCTCTCCTTGGGGGTTACCTCGGCCTTTGATCCAGTCACATCCAACAGCACAGAGGCCTTCTGGAAGTTTCCTGTGGAATACACAGTAGACTTTGCTAGAGGTCCTGGGGAACTTGAACTCTTCCGAATTTCACTCCTCTGGGTCACCTTGGTTTTCTGGGTTTTCTGAGGTGGGGACTCACCATTGCAAGAATATGGTAGGGGCTGATTATGGTTGGAAGAGAGGGGTTTCCCCTTGGCCAGGATCGGAATTGGCCGTGTGCATACCACCTCATCTTTTTGAGAGTCACCTGCTGGGAATTTAATAGGCTCTGGAAGAGTTGGAGCATCAAACTTTTGAAATTTGGCTCGAAGTTCCTTGAAGTTTTTCACTCCTTCCTAAAGCGTTTAAAAAAAAGAAGAAGAAAAAAGAAAACAAAACAAACAAAAAACTTCATTATTTCAGGAGAAAGAAAGCCAGTGTGATTAGCTGACCTCACTATACATGTTCAAGAGTTTTAATGGCAGATGTAATCCAATCGCTTACTTGTTGGCGATCTCAGTCAGTAAAGCTACTGGCTATGTGAGATGGAAAGAAATGATTGTCTCCTCTTTGAACCACTTCAGCTATGTTTATTTTTTTCATAGCACATAAAGGATACTTGCAGATACTAATAAAGGATCAGGGCTCCCCTAGATAAAGTGTCCATCACTGCCAGACACATAGTAGGTCCATGACAAATAAAAGCTCAATGATCCTTTGGTAGTTTCAGCTCCCCATGGGAGATCTACTCTTCCCTCTAAACTGGGCTCAGACTCATGTCTGAAAGTAGGTTGTGGTGATGTCAACCAGAGCCTTGGGGGTAGAGGCTTGACTCGTGCTTCATGCTCTTCCTACGGCCCCCCACTTTCTCCCACTGAACCTCGTTTATTTGTGTAAGTGAATCTCATCATCTTTTGCCTTTGTAGCAGGAAGGAGGGCATCTAATGGAGCCTTTTCAAAAAGCAAGAGCCACTGCTCTCTCCAGGTCACATTGCAGGTTTCTAATGTCATGTACACAGACCGTCTCCATGGCAGGGACTTCCTAGCTTGCCAGTTGAGGAAATGTTGGGTGACCTTTTCTCACTGTTTATAGTTGACTCACACCTGCCCTCTGAAGATTTAGGGAGGGAGGGCATTGAACAAGAGGCCTAAAGCAGGTCTCTGGGAACTGGCTTGCATTTGTATGCTGGACTTCTCTCTCTTTTCTCCCCTGCCACACCCACATCCCATGGACACTTTTACAGCTCTCTCCACAAATTGCCAGGAGTTGATTTCTTACACTTAAGCCAGCAGACAAGTTAATCCAGTTGTACTTCCTGTCCCTGGACATGGCAGGAGCCTTCACTGGGCATGAAGTCAGGAGGCCTCAGTGAAGCTCAGCCTAGCCCTCTTCTGCTGTGTGCCTTGGGCAAATCATTTCACTTCTCTGAGCCTTATTGTCCTCACTATAAAATAGGACTTCTATTTCTAGTATCAGTTCAGAGTTCTTTTAAGGATAAATAAGGTAACAGATATGCATACCTCAGTGGTAAATGTCTTTTAAATTGTGGCAAAACACACATGACATATAATATGCCATCTTAACCATTTTGAAGTATATAGTTCAGCAGTGTTTAGTAGATTCACAGTTGTGCAGCCAATCTCCAGAACTCTTTTAATCTTTCAAAACTAAAAGTCTATACCTACTAAACAAGAACTCTGCATTCCACCCTCCCACACTCTACATTCTCTCCCTCTGGATTTAAATATTGTAGTTATCTCCTATAAATGGAGTCATCCAGCATTTGATGTTTGGTGATTGGCTTATTTCACTTAGCACAATAGTTTCAAGGGTTAGCCATGTTGCTGCATGAATTAGAATTTTCTTGCTTCTTAGGTTGAATGATTGTATGTGTACATACCTACATACATACATATATAAACATTCTGTTTATGCTCATCCATCAATGGGTAACTTGGGTTGAACAAGAGCCATAAAAACAGATATTTGCTTTAGCAATTGTGAGTGATTCTCCTATAATCTAGGTATAGAGATTATTCCTTTGAGACCCTGTTTTCAGTTCTTTTGGGTAGGTCCCCAGAAGTGGAATCACACGGCAATTCTATTTTAATTTTTTTTGAGAAACCTCCATACTGTTTTCCATGGCAACTGTGCCATTTTACATTCCCAACAGTGTAAAATGATTCCAAAACTTATCTATGTCCTCACCAACACTTATTTTTTATATCATCCCTCCTAACAGGTGTACGTAGGTCAATGACTAATATTCTTGAAGTCATATAATAATGCTTATGTTTAGCTCTTTGTATCTGAAGCCATGTGAAGTACAATGTTATTGCTTAATAGATTTTAATCTCTGTGGAACTGACTGAGCAAAGTCTTAGTAGGAAATGGAATTATGAATTTGATAACCTCCAAACCAAGGTCCTGTGCAGAGATAACAGGTTTGGTGATGGGCAGACCTGATTGTACCTGACTCATTCCTTTTTCAACCAATTTTCATTAAGCATCCACTCTATAGACAGAACACTGTTTGATACAGTCAAGGACTCTGCTCTTAAATATGACATCCTAATGTCAGGCAGAGATAGAAAATAAGCAAACATACAAGACAATGTTAGAGAAGAGTGCTGAGTGGAGAATTAATTAGAAGATGCAATGGAGACCTGACTGGATGCTAGCTACTGATTTTCAGGGGAAGAGTGGAAAAATCACTTCTTCTCTCAGTCATGCACCAAATTAGGGGTTAGCCTGGGTCCCTCCAAAACCCCTTCCACACTAACATCTAGATTTTTTTCCCCTTGCTGTAGATGGGAAGAGATATGATACATTTTGTCATTTGTCATTCATTACCCATATGTGGGAATTCAGGGTTGAGCATGAGGAGAGTTTCTGAGAGGTGGCTGAGAGGCCTTCTACTAAACCAGTCTCAATTTTTCTGTTCCCACAGCAAATAAGTTCCCAAATTCTCCCAATTCCCCCCACCCCACCACATGCACCCACGCACCCATAGATAGATGGATAGAAATATCTATCTATATTTTTGTGTACATATATGTATATAATATATATTTGTGTGTGGAGGGGGTGTGGTGAGGTGCTGGGGGTTGAACTCGTGCATGGAAGGTAAGTGCTCTACCACTGAGCTGCGTAGGCAGCCCAATCCTACTGATCTGTAGCTTTAAGCAGCCCATGAGCCTGCCCCTTATTCATGCTATTTCCATTGCCTTCAGGTCTGTCTCCCTTATTACTTGGAATGACTTCTTTGTGGTCTCTCTGGTTCTACTCTGAGCCCTTCTAATCCTCCATTTATTCCGCTGTTAAACAAATCTGTTTAAAAACACAAATCTGATCATGTAAGTCCATTATATGTTTAAAATCCTTCAATTTGGCTTCCTGAAGCTTTCTAATAAGCTTGAACACTTTTGCTTAGCACCCAAGACCCATCCTAATCCCAACCCTGTTAATTTTCTGATGCCATTTTGGCCCAGTGGGCTTTTTTTTCTCTCCATGAATTGTGCACCTGTTTCTCAACCCGTTTTGCTCTTCTATGACCCTGTACTTTTGAATGTGCTATTTTCTCAGCCTGAAATGTCTATCTTCCTCCCAATTTATTGAACAAGTAATTCCTACTTTTTCAAAATTCCACTTGTGTCATTTCAAAAGGCATATTGGTGAATTTACTCTATGCCAGGCTCTGGGGGTACAGAGATGAAGAGGGCATCCCTGACCTTTTGCAGCTCATGGAATGAGGAAGAGAGACATGAACAGATTGTTCTAACATAACAGAGGAAATTATCAATATGTGGCACAAAATCTGCTTATGTGAACATAAAAAAAAAAAGAGAGACTCAAATGTGACCTAGAGAAAGAAGGCTTTGTGGAGAAGACTTCTCAGCTGAAACATCCAGCCAAGCAAAGAATGGTAGGAAAGGAACCCAGAGAAAGCAGAATGAATGAGGCAGAGCAGGATGAAATGATACGGGAAGAAAGAGCAATTCCACCTTAGTAGAGTCCCAGTGTCCAGAGGGAGACGCTGGAGGAGGTGGAGGCCAGGTCTTCTGAAGGTAAAGAGCTGAATCTTCAACTTGAAAGGCAAACTACCAGTGTGGTGACTCTTGACAGCTAAGTGTGATTTCGGTCACATCTGTCATGACCACTCCTTGTAAAGCAGCCTGCCCTGCTTACCTTACCCTGCGTGTAGACAGTGAACCTTCCCCGAGTGCAGAGACTGTACACCCTAGAGCCACATTTCCCTGGCACTCTCTTGGCTGGAATTCTTCCAAGCAATGGTGTCCACGGGCAGTGAGGAGATGAGCATGAGCGTGTGTCCCTGGGGAGTGGCCAGGGCCAAGGTTGCTGTATTGTGCAATGGACAGCAACATCCATGGGTTCCCACTGGAATAATTCCATGTGGACAGTAGTCTTTTCTCTTAGCTATAGCAGATGAGCTCATCCCTGGGGCCTCCTAGTAATTTCCAGAATAATCTATAACACATCCTTTCAGTTCAATCTGATAACAAGTTTATCGGTATTTCAATATTTGGTCACTGCTGTAGCACTAAGAGGTGGAAGCTTATTCGGTCCACACTGGTGAATGAATGAGTCCTCGATGTACAAGCTTTCAGAATCCATGGAAGATAAGAATAGTATCTTGGTCTCACCGGCACTAGCCCGGCAGTTTACAGAGTCTTTGGAGCATAAATGGATCAGTGAATGAATGCTCTGAATAAGTGAGCAGGTTCACATGAACTAAAACTGCTTAGAATTTAAAATTTTTCTTCTATTATCTTTGTGAAGGCAGCTTAGAATGGCCACTGAAGTAAAGTATCTAAACACAATAAGGTCAGAAGACAACCTAGAAAATAGCCCTGGAAAACAGCCTGCACACTCCTGATCTGGACCCTGCGAGCCTCAGATACCTCATGTGGAAACACAGGCCAAAACAATACAGAAATATTGTGGAAATAATCTAAGATAAAAGACAGTGGTGTCCTCAAAACAGAAGGGGCTTATCTCTTTGATATGGGAAGGAGGTGGCAACCAGCCACCAGAAACAAAGAAACTGCTCTTTCAGGAGCCTGAGACAAGTGGGAAATGGTTTCCAGTTTGCACGACAGTATTCTAGGTGCCATAATTATCACAGCTAGATGAATATACTTAGTTAAACCAGCAGAACAAAGCTCAATAAAACAAACTTCTCCCAGCCAGTTTTTGTTTTACAGGAATGTAAGGAATAATCATATCAATAATAAAACAGGCACTGTTCTAGTACTTCATATACATTAACTCATTTAAACCCAGTGTATTCCCAACTTACA